CGGCGCCGATTTTTGAATTAGGTCTTAGTTTTTTATCAAATTAAGGATTTTTAGAAAATTCGGAAGGCTTTTTCGGGTTTTGAAGGTTGTTGGTTGCCTGGAAAACCAATAAAGGCTTAATTGGAAAATCAGCTCCGGTCAGACGATGTAGTTAGGTGTCTAGTTTAAAACAAAACAAACCTGAACTCTCCAGCTTGAAGTATATTAAAAAGTTTTAGAAAACACTTCAGGGTCCTTTTTGGACCTTGATCTCTAGAAAACTCATAAACGGTAAGGCTTGGAGACAAAAAAATTTTTCGTTCCCGTAACTCATTAAGCCAAATATTTCTGCGAAGTTTCGTCAAGATCGGATGTATGATACCGGAAATTATTTCTGAGGAGGGGGCTTAATTTGACGGCTTCACTTAGGTAAATTGACGTTGTTAATGATCAATGTCTACACACCTCGACACAGACGTTTTATATGAGCGTGGTTTTAGTGTTATTCAATCGGTTTTTAAATGATTTTATTTAGGCTGATGGTAACAATGGCGGTGCTATTATTGATACTCAATTACAACGTTATTGTTCAATATGTCATTTATCCATTCATTTGACAAATTACACAAGTTTACTTTACTTAATCGATTGTCTATCTAATATTCAATATTTAGATGTTGAACTTCTATTTAATGATGATACAACAACAAGATCCGATATCTATGATTACTCACAGTTATCAATAAAAGTACCTTATTTAACGTATTTAAAATTATTTATTAATGGATTTAGAGTAAATTTAACAGAAATTGAATTGTTTGTTAAAAATATTTTCTCATTGAAACGATTAGTACTAAAAGTATACAATCATCTAACGTCAATTAATTCAAATCGTTTAAAATATAGATTAGGTCTACAAACAATGTTAACACATTTGAATGATATTTATCTGATATTAGATGCTAAAGGTACGAACGCCACAGAGTCATTAGCAACATTTCAAAATGATACATTTTGGGAAAATAAAACAGTGGAATATGTACAAGCGCATTATTCAAATTACTTCTTGATAAAATCATCATAAAAAGTTTATTTTATACAAAAACCTTTTTGTGAAACGATTTATTTGCTGACGTTTTGTGTTTTGTTTCACTTTTTCACAAAATCCGAGATACTTATTTTTAACTTTTGGTGTGAGTAAAAGAATAATGGAGCGTCCACAGATAAGTCAATAAGTTCTGAGCGTTTCCACATGGGTGAGGGCGGTCAAGTAGCAGAGAAGAGCAAGAAGGGAGAAACTCGGTTGAAATGTGTGAGATCACGGGTTTCCGTTAAACACTGTTATGCTAGTCTTTATAAAATGATGCTATACTACACTGTAAAAAAAGAAAGTGTATGAATGGCCTAGACGACTACTCTACACGAAAAAGTAAGAACTCTTAATAGGCGGTCAGCCTAAGTGTGTTAAGATAAACTTTTGTGATTTGAGTCAATTTTTTCTGATGAGTTTTCGAGGAGATATAAGCATCTCGGCAAATGCTCTGAAAAAAGTGACCTATGTGCAAAATGCGTTTTTTCTCGAAAATTGTTTTTCTGCTACCAGGCTTCATTATGCCACATTACGACCCTCTTTAAATTTCATCCGATCGAGTTCAAAATTTGACCGGAGGTACTCAAGACACTGTTGTAGAGGTAAGTTTTTGAAATTTTATTTTAGACTTTTCTTTACCGAATTACAGAGTTTCTAAAATTGAAAAACTTGGTTTTTTTTAGACGTTTTTCAGTATTTTTCCTATAACTCGATCAGGAAAGGTCTCAAAAAGACCCAAAAATTATCTCTGTGGAGTGACCTTGAGTAGCTCTGCTAAAATTTTGAACTCGATTGGATGACATTTAAGGGGGGGCGTAATGTGGCACAATGAAAAACTAGTGAACGGCAATAGGTGAAACCTTGAAATAAAAACGAAAAAGTGCTTCATTGAGTTTCCAATTAGTTCTGAAAACACGAAGCCCTAGCGACTTCTAATTTTTTATTTCACAGCATTTCGTCAGAAAGTCAAAAAAGAGGGGAGGGTGTAAGTGCTGTATGTATTCAAACGCTGTACAACTTCGCTCAATTTAATCTCACTTAAGTTTATATTAAAGTTTTTAATATTTTATTACTCAAGAATTTGACTAAAAGAAAACTAAATAAAAGGTATGTCTGAACTAGACCACAAAAAATGTACATAATGATCGAAAATAAAAGTTGGTTACAAGTTAATTTTTGTAACTAAAGAAACAATTGTTAATAATTATTGTTTTCGTACCGGAAAATAATAACGGTTAATAACTTCGATTCGAATCTTTTCTCTAAATAATTTGTGCGCTTAAAGTACGAAAGTTGAAATATAAGAAGGATGAGAGTGATGGATGTTTTCTATACATGGAGTACAGCCATTCGGAGTATAGTAACAACTACACTCTCATTTACAACGTAAGCACAAAATGGTTCGCGACTGTATTACACGTTGTTTCTAGTATTCATATAGTTACAAGCTCATTGATCCTTATCCCTTTCCAGCCTGATGTTGCCATTTGGCAACACTTTTTGCTGTGTTTTCGAAACAGCCGGCTGAAAAGGGTAATAGTCGGATTAAGATTTCCATGTATTTTCCGCAGTTTTCATGTCACGGGGCCTCCGTGACTGTTACAGAGGGGTGCCCTTAAGCGGAGAAAAGCTTAAAGTAGAAAAAGTAATTTCAGAATTGCGGTCTGCACGTTGAAAAATCTACATGCTCTCTTTTGTTATATGTATTTTCTATTATATGTTTCTTTTGACCTCATCTAATTCTAAACAATCGTTACATACTAAAATAAAAGCAAAAAAAACAATAAATAACAATGTTGTTCGTGTTCACGAAGCTCAGCACGAACAATAGGAACGAAATATTCAGCTAAAATGAACGACAAAAAAAGACAAAAGAAAATGAATAATATCTCACTTAATATTCTAAAAAGTAAAACTTCCTATGAGATAATTTCGTTCGTCTTACTATCCGAAGGAAAGTTACGTGTTGAAAAGGAAACTTCTACAGTAACTGATTCGTAGTAGTAACTGATGTTTACTGATGTGTAGTAACTGATACACGTTGAGAACAAATGTGGTACTCGTTTCACCGTATTCGAGAAGAAGGTATAGAATCAACACGACAGCGGAGGATATTTCGGTCGGCTTGTGAAACCATTTCGAACATCTTTCAACTCATTAAAACGCAAATTTCGTCAAATTTGTCTATCATAAATACGGTATATTCACGGATTGTAACGCCTTTAGCACAAATCTATGAAACTAAAGTGTTCAAATGCCTTAAAAACAATGAGTCCTCATCAAAATTTTCGTTCACTCTCCCGCGTAATGTTGGAGCTACTTCCAAAGCAAGAGAACGTCCACCGTAATCCTGCGATGCAACCGAAGCGGGTGGCCTTATCCGGTCGAGACTTATTAACGGCTTCGTTTGACCGCTGTATAGGGTCTGGTCAGCTTATAATAAAAAATATAATCGCAAAAAAGTAGATTAATAGCATTTTGTACTGCTCAAAATAAGAAAATAATTGCGTTCATTATTCTTCTCTTGGGATATTCATATTTTTCACCATCGCAAAAGAGTTCTTGGAAAATCCGAGTATTGGTCGCTTACAGGTCAAAAGTTTTAGAAAAGTTGTTGATCGACAGCTATCTGCTAGGTAACGATGACCGGTCGGCACCGATCACAGGGTTTTGACGGATTGTGTCTCTGCTGTAAACACCACATGCCATGTACCTCATCAAAAAAACTCGATGTATGATTTTTGCAAAGGGTCGTCAGATTTCTAGCAGAGTACTTTATTGAATTGCAACCAGATGGTCAAAACGTTGTTGAAAACGAAGTACAGTTTCGTGAAACATAGAATATGTGGACATCTTCAACATGTTGTGCTCAAATGCAACTGGCTATTTTAACTTCGAAAAATTTGTAAGATTTTTTCTTGTTGTATAAGAAGTGGCTGAACTCGTACTAATACAGCACTGATTAGACGCCACTGGATGAGTTTCACGATCGATCCAAGGATAAATTAAAAAGCATTCAGAAAATATCGAAGGAGTTTAGAAAGATTTTAACTCGAACGCGTTTGCACAAATTGATTTCACTGGGTTCTTCACTGCGAATTTTTTGTTGGTTGCCACTAGTTTCAGCACATTGCACTATTTGCACAAGTTACAACACATTGTGTTTCAACTTTTTAAATTCGTGAATGTAGTACAAATAACTATAGTGTTATGCTTATTGCAATTATATAATAAATTTTTGACAAAATTAAATTATAAAAATTTTAATAAAGATTTTTTAAAGAAACTTAAATGTCGTATAAAGAATCCTTGACTGAATACATTGTTAAAATTAAATATTTCTTATAATCTACGAGTGTTACTGTATAAAACTATGATTGGGAAAAAAAGACTTATTCTTTATTAATTGCTAAAAATTGTAATTAAAACCGCCAGAAATTAAAATTATTTTAAATTAATAAAGTCAAATAACTTTTAAGACGTTTTAAAGTTTGAAGAGCAAACTAAGAGCATTCGTAGGTAATCGACTATGGCGCATCCAACAAACATATATTGAGGGTTTCCTAAGGATCTCCAAAAAACCTTTTCAGAAATATCGGGATTTGAAAGTGAAACAAAAAATCTTTAGGATAAATAGATTACGGCGTATCTAATGGGCATATTATCAGTGCTGTATGAGGATTATTAGTGGGTTTCCAGATGATCGAACAATATTTACACATACTTTGCTTTTGTAAGGGCAACAATTTCCGTAAAAAACTAAGCGCAGTAGCAGCTAGTGGAAATGCCATTCGTAATTGAATAAAATATATATTAATTTAAAATGAGCACAAAAATAGTTGACATACATAGAATTCAATGTTTTAAAATTTAAAATTTCGTTATTAAGAAAAAGATATAAAATATATGATAGGCTGGCAAATAGTAACTCCATAGGTGTTTGATAAATCTCACGTACTGTCGATTGCGCTTTAGTGATTGCTTATGATGTTTTCTGTGTCAACAGCTCTGCATGTCTCGGTTGGATTAGGTTGGGTTATCATGTGTATCTCGCTGGTGACCATCAGTTCTATATGCCTGGGTTGGGTTGGATTATCATCAGAGATTTAGTGATATGTGTTAACTACAGACATGACAACCCAACCCAGACATATAGAACTGGTGATCATTAGTGGGACACACATGATAGCCCAACCCAACCCAGATATTTAGTGATATATATTAACTATGGACATGATAACCCAAACTTACTCAACCCGGAGGTATAGAACTGATGATCAGTAGTGAGTTACAGCCAAAGAGACATGACGACCCAAACTTACCCGCTACAGGAACAACGGCATACTAGGAACTGATCTGCGCCTAAAGGCAAAACGACGTCGAAACCTTTTTCTAAAGTATTCCGATCCAGAAGTTATCGCGTAACACATAATTAACCATGGAGAAGACGAATCTGCAATCGGTTTTGACTGAACAAGCTTTTAAAATTGTTCGATCCGGTGATATGATTGATTGGAGTGATAGAGGCACCACAGTCGACGTGGAACTGGCTGAAGTAAACTAGGGCGCCAAAGCCTACGTGATACTGACTGGGATGATACAGGGCACCACAAGCCGGAGCGGAGCATCCGGTTCCTTGCCAGTATTGTATATTTCTCTTTGAAAACGACTCTATGATGAATCGGAACGCCAGATCGTTTAATCAAATAAAGTTCAATTTAATCTATGGCTGCTGTTAATCTAAACAAGAGTATTCTAATCAAATTCTGGCCCTTGATGGTTTCAATGTTATTTGATCACATTCATCATCAACATCCTAAAAGGAAAAGAATGATGCATTATATCTCTATAAGTAACAATGATAATGACCGGCTGAAAAGATATTATACTTTTTATAACTCTGTCTCTTCATGTGGAAAAGAGCTATTCAAAAATCATCTTCATTTGTTGGTTTAAATTGTATATCCTGCGAAAAATTATTGAATATATTTTGC